CCGCCCCCCCCCCCCCCCCCCCCCCCCCAACCCGAGGGTCCAGCACGGCTGTGCTGCAAACGCCTTTCCGGCGCCTGCGGGATGATGGGAAAGGGATTTCTTTATTCCACTCCTTTTCTTTCTTTCTTTCTTTTTAATTTCCTTTTCTATAAGCACCGGGTGGCAAAAGAGACAGGCAGGTTGCGTGCCAGTCTGCCCCACTGAAAGAGCTCAGGACTCTTGCAGCTTGCACCTTCGCTGTCCGTCTTTGCTAGAAGGCGAATGTGTTAAGTGCTTAAAATGTTCTCAGAACTCGCAAACGGTTTCATACTTCATTTCTGGTCTTCTAAAATCTTCTTTAGAATTATTTTCTTGTGAAAAATAAACCGAGAAAACGATATGACTTCAAGCGGGATAGAAATATGTGTAGATCAGCAAAGATCATGTCCGGGTTTCAGATGCTGGCTGAAATTTCAATCAGTGGGAGTATGTGTGGGCAGTGTCCTAATTTGATGTAATCTGGGTCTGGATTAGCGCCTCTGCGCGTTTGCGGGTGTCCGCTAAAAGCACATTTCTCTGAGGTCCCTCTAAAAGTCTGTAGAAGGGAATGTATGGATGTCGGTAATGGGGGGGTTCGGTCTCCGGAAAAAAGCTCTCCCTTAGTCGCGGTTATAAATCCAGTTTTCTCGTAATGCTGGGGTGCAGCGGGATGCAATATTTTGTCGGAGACAAGGTGGTGTATTCGGGTTTATGATTCCCCCGCTTCTGTGGTTTGGGGTGATTTTTTTAAGCAGCAGAGATGATGTGGCTGATGCCTCCTGCGCTGTGGGAGCATACCAGTGGGGCCTTACGTGCACTAGGGTCTAAATAGAAGATCCTATTATTTCCATTGAGAGCCATCTAATAATTTTAGCTATGAATTTTAATTATTTTAAAATAAATATTTTGCAAGTAGATGAACCACTGCTACCTAGAGCTACAGAAGATCTCTGCTCCCCGTAAAATAACACACACAGTGGTGTAATATGGAAAAGAATTAACTGGCTAGTTAATTATTTTATATTTTTGTAGATAGAAATGAGTTTGGGAAGGAAAACAGAATGTCTGGGTTAATAAAACATGGCCTCAAAACCGAAATAAAGCCTTCAGGCTTTGTCCGCTAGAGAAAGGAAAAAATGAGAAAGAGTAAAATCAAGATGGAGAATATTTAAAGACGCAGCGTGAAAACGGGATGGGGTTTATGTGATTAATAAAAGGTCATATTGCACAGAGGAGGGAGAATTCAACCGGGAAGAGTAAATGAAGAGCTGACACGGTGAGAAAGGCCCTTTGAGAGAATGGGATCTGTGAAAACATGTATATTTCAGTGAGGATCACTTATATATGGATGAATTAAGAGAGGGCAAGTCGCTGAAGCCACTTAAAGATGGTTAGAAACAGAAATCATACAGTAAGAAAAAATTCTGCAGGTCAATCTGGCATTAAGAATGCACACAGCTCAAAGATGGGATGTGTGTAACGCAACCTGAAACCCCGAACATGTTAAGACTCATTTTATCAGACCGTACTTGCCTTAGTACTGATGTTTGGTAAATTAGACCAAATCCTTCCAATTTTCCACGCACAAAAAAAATTTCCCGATAGAGGAATATGCCGAAACTGATGTGACTAATCCTTGGTTTTAAACAGATTAGTTATGATTCACTAGCATTAGGTTACATGGGACATATCTCAGGGTTGGTTGTTCCTGGGGTACCCACATCGGTTTTGGGGCATAAATAAAAAGTCGGTTCTGTTCCGGCAGGTTTTATTCCTGGCTTCCCTCTGACTGAGGCCAGGACGTGGCGGGCAAACTGCACAGCACATCCCCTATAGCTTGGGCAATTTGGGAAGAACCGCACTTTCTGTCTCATATATGCATGCACACATGCATACCTACGTATACATACACACCCATATATATATATATATATATATGTATGTATGTATGTGTATGTGTATATGCAATATATACGTATGCAGTGTTTGACTTCAAAATAAAATCTTACCAAATTACACAATGTATTCAGCACTTGCAGGTCCCAAAATGTAAATGGAGTAATTCCTTAAGATAACAGGGTGCTGTATATTCACGTGTACTAGGCCAGAGGGGTTTTTTTCTGCTGTATTTTATTGTCTAAGCGTTCACAGACATGTGATGAAGACAGCCATGAGAGAAATAGCTCACTTGAGATAGAAAACAGTTCTGTCCTTCCTGACAAGGTGCAATTCGTCACTCTGATTGGGAAATACTGATGGATGTGATGAGAGAGCATCCCGACAGGCTACTGGAGATGTGGCACAATTCCCGGCACTTTTCTGGGGACAGGTAGCAAGTCTATAGGAGGAAGAGCCTTTCCTGTGAGCAGGAGACCATATGCCAGAGCTTGCTGGTTGAACACGTTCCATCTGTGAGCCCTTCCAGGCTCTTGGGGGTAATCAGGATTCTTATCTACAAGGCTGGGTGGCTGCATTTTCCTTTGGATAATATAAACTATTTTGGAGACACTCGACATCATGTACACGGGAGAAATCGCCCTCTTGGCATATTTTTCTAATCTACCCCGGAGAAAGCTACTTTGCCTCTTCTCCCCAGACCTGGTGCAGCACTCTGGGCCTAACCAACATCTCAGTGTGTTTGAGGGGGCCTGCTGCAGCCCCGGAATGAAAAGTCTTGGGAGTGCCCCTGCCTGCCCAGCGATGTTTGTGTAAGGCACTGGGGCTCCTGTTACCAGACCCGGAAACAAAATCTCTTGCCTTCTTTAGGAGAAACAAATGCAGCCCAGTATGAGCAGGCTTTTGCCTTGAACAAACCCTCACTTGAGCATGACAAATAATGTAGGGGGGTGGCGATGAAAACACTGGGCACTGGCCCTTACTGCAGAGTTCTTTAACTTCTGCTTAGTGAATCAAAACGCTGAGGCTCAGGCAGCCAAGAAAAATATACTGAAGGGAACTTTCAGTGCTTCAGCACACAAGGAAAAGGTGAGGGTTTTGTCTGAAGGAGAGTAGCTCTGGGATTTGGAAAAAATACATAAACCTCAGAGCTGGCCTGCGGGATAACCTTCTTCCTATTTTGCTGCGGGGAGCGGTGCTCAAAGCTTCCCCTCCATGCACCGAGGAGGCGCCTCCTTTCTCGGGAGGTCCATCTCCTTACCATTAAAATAAACGGGAGGCGGGGGTTGTTTATTAGCGTGACTTTGGGGTTTTTTCGGATTTGAGTAAGAACGCTCAATCTCCTGCTCTAAATATCGGATCCGCCTTTATGCAGAGTCCCGGTGTGCAGCTGGCTGGCAGACCAACACCAGCCCAAGCTGTGTAGGAAAAAAAAAACCCTACTTTTAAAAA